CATGTTTACTTGTCATACAGGTGCTTCTGTGACAAATGTGAGGAGATGGCTAACTTAAAGAACAACAACATATATGCAGTTTTTAATACAATATCTTTATAACGTTATATTTATAAACGTGTGGTTACACACTATACAAACAAGGTTTAAATTATATAGCCTACACAGACATCCTACGACGACAACAACTATAGACGCATTTGTTGTTGAATTGGTCTCCATAGGCATCGACAGAAATGACTATTTGCTCAAAAATCATAAAATACACTTACTGTTACTGGAGGTGATGGTGGATCGCAAACAGTAAACCACGATCCACACTTGAGGATTAACTTTTAAGCCACAACAACAGGATTAACCCACGACAGAACATTTATGTTTCCAAGAGACATTACCGGCTGTCGTTGAAACAATGGAGGATGCTGTACAGATCACCGAGGGCGGGGTCAATGCCACAACCACACTGTCAATCAAACCCCTTGCTCAATTCTACATCACAAAGCGCTGAATCTTAGAACAGCTCGTTCTGAGACAGTGGATATGATTTATTGAGATTGTAAAAAAAACACTGGGTGGAATTTTAACATTCTAGGGTGGTTTTGCTCAAGTCAAGTCAAGTCACATTTATTTATATAGCGCTTTTCACAATACAGATTGTATCAAAGCAGCTTCACAGTGATAACATGAAAGTAGTACAACACAGATCAATAATATTGCTAAACACTAAATAACCCCAACTGAGCAAGCCAAAAGCAAGGCGACAGTGGCAAGGAACCAAAACTCCATCAGATTGGATGGAGAAAAAACCTTGGGAGAACCCAGGCTCAGTCGGGGGCCAGTTCTCCTCTGGCTTACATTTATATTGTTTATATATAAATAATAAATATAAATATTGTTTATGCATAAAACGGCGCCATAACATATCGCATGCGTTGAGTCGTCTCCTCACAGGCGTTGGTCCTCTCATCGCAGGCGTTGGGGCATCCGAATCCCCGTGAGAGGCTGGAGACAACTGGACCTGACGAACGCCATTTTTCTCGGGACACTTGTCAGATAACAGCAGAAAGGCAGATGGGAAATAATTAGCATAGCTGATGTTCATAATGATTTCCATTATACGGGAGTCGGTGTTAGAAAACCACTATCTCACAAACTCTCCGTAACCTGAACTCTCCGCAACCCAACCATACGCGCCGACCCGTTTGACTAAGGCTGTCGAGCCCCACTGTCGCGGAAATGCGTTTCAGTGGCAAACGGTTCCGGTATGGCATAACAGAGGACTAAAAAGTAAGCATTATGTGAATGCTTGACTAAAGAGATGCGTCTTTAATCTAGTTTTAAACTGTGTCAGCGAGTCAGAGCCTCGGACCGTATCGGGAAGGCTATTCCAGATTTTTGGAGCTAAATGCGAGAACGCCCTCCCTCCTTTAGTGGACTTCGATATCCTAGGAATGACCAGAAGCCTTGAATTTAGTGATCTTAAGGAACGCGGTGGATTGTAGGGCGAAAGAAGGTCCGTTAAGTACATAGGTGCTAAACCATTTAGGGCTTTATAGGTTAGTAGCAGTATTTTGTAATTGATACGGAACTTAATAGGTAACCAGTGTAGAGATGATAAAATCTGTGTTATAAGATCATATTTTCTTGACCTAGTAAGAACTCTAGCAGCTGCATTTTGTACTAACTGTAGCTTGTTTATTGAGGATGCAGGACAACCGGCTAATAAAGCATTACAGTAATCTAGTCTCGAGGTCATGAATGCGTGAACTAATTTTTCTGCATCAGAGATGGGATAGCATGTTACGTAGCTTAGCAATGTTTCTAAGGTGGAAAAAGACTGTTCTTGTAACATATGAAATATGATTTTCGAAGGACAAGTTGCGGTCTAGTATAACACCCAGGTCTTTTACTGTAGTGGATAAAGTAACAGGACATCCGTCTATATTAAAGTTGTATTGCGAGAGGTTTTGAGAGTAGTTTTTTGGACCAATAAGTAATACCTCCGTTTTATCTGAATTTAATAGCAGGAAATTACGCGTCATCCAGCATTTTATATCTTTGAGACACTCTGTCATTTTAGATGAGTTAGTGTTTTCATCTGGTCGTGATGAAATATATAATTGAGTGTCGTCCGCGTAACAGTGGAAATTAATTCCATGTTTTCTTATAATATTACCAAGTGGCAGCATATATATTGAGAATAGCAGAGGGCCTAAAACCGATCCTTGCGGTACTCCATAGTCTACTGACGTTATCTTTGATTTTTTCCCATTTAAACAGACAAAATTATAACGGTCCGATAAGTACGATCTAAACCAGCTTAATGCCTGTCCCTGAACACCAGTGTAGTTTTGTAGTCGATCCAAGAGTATGTTATGATCTATAGTGTCGAACGCAGCGCTAAGATCAAGTAGGACTAGTATTGAGATACAGCCTTGGTCAGAAGCTAAAAGTAAATCATTTGTAATTTTAACTAGTGCAGTTTCTGTACTATGATGCGGTCTGAATCCTGACTGGAATTTTTCATAGATATCATTTTCTTGCAAAAAAGAGCACAATTGAGCGGACACAACTTTTTCTAGTATTTTGGACATAAATGGAAGATTTGAAATGGGTCTGTAATTTGTATTTAGTTATTTGTTATCTAATTGTAAAAAAAGTTATTTGTATCTAATTGCAGTTTCTTAATGAGAGGTTTTATTACTGCCAGCTTGAATATTTTTGGAACATGACCTATAGATAAAGACGAGTTAATAATATTGAGGAGAGGCTCCACTACAGGTAATAGTTCTTTCAGTAGTTTAGTGGGTATTGGATCTAATAAACAAGTTGTTGGTTTAGATGCAATGATAAGTTTATTTAGCTCCTCCTGTCCTATCGTTGTAAAGCGGTGTAGTTGTTCTAGAGGGGCCATAATTGACGCTGAATCATAAGACACCATAAAGGATTGTACATTTATAATTGCGTTTCGGATGCTTTCTATTTTCTCATTGAAGTAATTCATAAAATCATTACTACTAAACTGTAACGGTATATTTTGCTCTGGTGATGTCTGTTTATTTGTTAGTCTAGCTACGGTGTTAAATAAAAACCTTGGATTATTTTGGTTATTTTCGATTAGTTTGCGGAGATGCTCAGCCCTGGCTGTTTTTAGTGTCTTTTTATAACGTGACATACTGTCTTTCCACGCTATTCTAAAGACCTCTAAATTAGTTTGTTTCCATTTACGCTCTAAGTTGCGAGTTTCTCTCTTGATAGCATGCGTAGCACTGTTGTACCATGGTGCTTTAGTTTTCTCTCTAACCTTTTTTAATCTAATTGTTGCAACAATATCTTATGTACTAGTAAAAATGGTGCTTAAACTGCTAGTCATTTCCTCTAATTCATCTGTTTGTTTGGATTTACTTAGCAGCTTAGATAGATCAGGTAAGCTATTTGAGAATCCATCTATAGTGGTTGGAAGGATTGTTCTGCCTGGTCTATAACGTGGCGCAACATGACATATTTCAGCAGTACGTATTATGCAAGTCACCATGTAATGATCAGTGACATCATCGCTTTGCGTATAATATCAATATCAGTTGGATCGGTTCCATATGATATAATTAAATCTAGAGTATGATTTTGAGTGGGACCACTGACGTTTTGTTTGACCCCAAGGGAGTTTAATAAGTCTGTAAACGCAGCCCCTAAAGCATCATTTGTATTATCTACATGTATGTTAAAATCTCCAGCAATTATTGCTTTATCGACGTTCACCAATAGATCTGAGAGAAAGTCTGCAAACTCTTTTAGGAATTCAGCATATGGCCCTGGAGGTCTATATACAGTAGCCAGGGCTAGAGATAATATGGATTTCCTTCTTACATCTAAGAGCGTAACATTTAGCACAAGTACTTCAAATGAATTAAACCTGTGACCTGTTTTCTGAGTAATATTAAAAATATCTTTATAGATTGTTGCAACACCGCCGCCACGACCGATCAGACGAGGCTCATGTTTATAACAGTATCCTGGCGGAGTAGATTCGTTTAGACCGAAATACTCATTTGGTTTAAGCCAGGTTTCAGTAAGGCACAGAACATCGAAGTTATTATCTGTGACCATTTCATTTACAATAACCGCCTTATGTGTGAGCGATCTAATGTTTAGAAGACCTAGCTTTAGAAATTGTTTTTGTTCACTTATATTTAGATTTTATGGTTTGATTACAATAAGATTTTTGCTCGATCCTGCACTAGTTTTATTATTTGGCTTCACTAAACGAGGAATAGACACAGTTTCTATATAATGTTCCACACTATGCATATTAGTTAAGTTTGGACCGCAAAGGCTGTGATTTGGACTTTGACTTACTAGTCATCTGGTGCGTAGCGTTTTGGAGATGTTGTCCGACAGCACAGCCGCTCCGATTCGGCTGGGATGGAATCCATCTGCACGGTACATCCTGGGTCTTTCCCAAAACAGATGCCAGTTATTTACAAAGAGCAGCTTCTGTTCATTACACAATGACATTAACCATTCATTTAATGCAAATAGTCTACTGAACCTTTCCTGTCCTTGTCTGTACGTGGGAAGCGGTCCAGACACGATGATCGCTGCTTTAGGCGCTGTGCTGCGTACCGTCTCGATCAGGCTCCTGTAGTCCTTCTTCAGAACCTCCGTCTGCCGCAGCCTGATGTCGTTCGCTCCCGCGTGCAGCACAACAGCTCCGACGCGCTCGTCCCCGTTCAGGATCTCGGGAACCTATGCAGCGACATTAAGAACACGAGCACCAGGAAAGCAGTGAGTGCGCACCTTACCTTTCCCCGAAGTAGTAGCGCGGACATGACGGACCATGGATGTGCCGATGATCACGGCGTCGTCGCGTTCCGGCTCGCGAAGAGGGGAGAAGCGGTTCCGGGTGGAGATCTCGAAGACCGGGAGGGGCGGAGAGGCAGCTCTGGTCCTGGCTCGTGTCTTCTGCTGTGTGATCCATGGTCCATGTTGCTGTTTCGGTGCCGGAGTGAATGAAGCCCGAGATGATCGCGTCCTGGGCAGAGTAAAAAAATCGATTCACATTTGAATTGCGATTCAATCTTTACCGATTCAGAATCGATTAATAGAATTCCAAAAATCGATTCATATATATAGGCTATATTTTTAATGGCGTGCAGGGGCGGAGTGGCAATCGGGTGAGTCGGGACTTTTACCGGTGGTCCGGTAGTGTTTCTATGGTTTCGAGGCTGCGAGGGCTGGTCTGATAAATAGTTAATGCAAGTTCTTGCCGCCCGCTGGTCAAACTGTGCAGCCACTCTGCTCAACCCGTAAATAAATGCATCGATCCGCAGATCTTATGTTTGAGTTCTGTAGATCTTTTGCCAAGCGTGTCAGAGGTTACGGGTTCTAAAACCGCACTCGTATAGTTTTTTTCTCTCTCTCATCAAAACCGAATATATTCATCACGTTTGTGTGCATTTTATTTTGTGATTTCATCGGAGTCTCCACAACGGCGATAGGTTGAAGCGCGCGTCCGAGAGAAGACTGCGCGAGCCACAGAGAACACTATCCATGAACACTAATCGCAGCGGACACGAGCGCTCAGCTTGATTTCAAAAACAACAGGTCTCTTATGTAATAGCGAACTAAATGAATGCTATGCTTAACTGGAGATACCCGCAATTTACGTGCCTATGAACGACTTCACTGGATCTAAACAAATCAATCTAACCATAGATGTTACCAGTAGCGGTGGCTTTTTTTAAATCTATTTAAAATATTTTCGCAAGGGTTCTCTGAAATTAGTATATATTTTTAGGAAGTTCAATGTGCCCAGTCGAGTTCACATTTCAACAGTCAACCTGGTAGCTGAAATAGGCCTACTCTTAAAACCACATGTAGCATAATTGTTTGTTTGATCTGACTACAGCACTTTAAAGCTAAATGTAAAAGCTTTTTATTTAAGTTTTATTTTGAACTTGAATTAAATGTATTTAAAAGCTGGTCAAAGCTTGGCACTTCGCACTTTTTAGTTGCAAAAGTTTTTATTTTTGTATGAAGACATATAAAGTAATATCAAACTTTTCTTTTAAATTATGTCTACTGCAATCAATCACATAGGAAAAGTAAACTACATTTATATAGACCTGCGAATCGTTTTTTGAATCGAGAATCGTTTTTGAATCGAAAATCGATTTTGAATCGAATCTCGAGACAAAAAATCAGTATCGAATCGTGACATTTTCTGAATCGTGCACCCCTATTAAATGCATTCGATCTGATTCAACAGAGGAATAAAAGAAAGATAAGCATTATGTGAATGCTTGGCTAAAGAGATGCGTCTTTAGTCTAGTTTTAAACTGTGACAGTGAGTCAGAGCCTCGAACCATATCGGGAAGGTTATTCCAGAGTGTTGGAGTTAAATGCGAGAACGCCCTCCCTCCTTTAGTGGACTTAGATATGCTAGGAATGACCAGAAGCCTCGAATTTAGTGATCTTAAAGAACGCGATGGAATGTAAAGTGATAGAAGGTCCATTAAATACACAGGAGCTAAAACATTTAGGGCTTTGTAGGTCAGTAGTAGTACTTTGTAATTGATACGGAACTTAATCGGTAACCAGTGTAGAGATGATCGAATCGATGTTATATGATCATATTTTCTTGACCTAATAAAAGCTACAGCTGCATTTTATACTAACTGTAGCTTGTTTATTGAGGATGCAGGACAACCGGCTAATAAAGCATTACATTAATCTAGTCTTGAGGTCATGAATGCATGAACTAACTTTTCTGCATCAGAAACAGATAGCATGTTGCGTAGCTTAGCAATGTTTCTGTGGAAAAGGCTGTTCTTGTAACATATGAAATATGATTTTCGAAAGACAAGTTGTGGTCTAGTATAACATCCAGGTCTTTTACTATAGTAGATAAAGTAACAGGACATACTTCTATATTAAAATTGTATTGTAAGGGGTTTTGTGGGTAGTTTTTTTGACAAATAAGTAATACCTCTGTTTTATCTGAATTTAATAGCAGGAAATCACACGTCATCCAGCATTTTATATCTTTGAGACTGAGTTAGTGTTTTCATCTGGTCGTTATGAAATATATAATTGAGTATCATCAGCATAACAGTGGAAATTAATTCAATGTTTTCTTATATTACCAAGTGGCAGCATATATATTGAGAATAGCAGAGGGCCTAACACCGATCCTTGCGGTAGTCCATAGTCTAATAATGTTATCTTTGATTTTTCCCCATTTAAACAAACAAAATGATAACGGTCCGATCTAAACCAGCTTAATGCCTGTCCCTGAACACTGGTGTAGTTTTGTAGTCGATCCAAGAGTATTTTATGATCTATAGTGTCGAACGCAGCGCTAAGATCAAGTAGAACTAGTATTGAGATACAGCCTTGGTCAGAAGCTAAAAGTAAATAATATGTAATTTTAACTAGCGCAGTTTCTGTGCTATGATGCGGTCTGAATCCTGACTGGAATTTTTCATAGATATCATTTTCTTGCAAAAGAGCACAATTGAGCGGACACAACTTTTTCTAGTATTTTAGACATAAATGGAAGATTTGAAATGGGTCTGTAATTTGCTAAGTTATTTGGGTCTAATTGCAGTTTCTTAATAAGAGGTTTTATAACTGACAGCTTGAACGTTTTTGCAACATGACCTAAAGATATAGACGAGTTAATAATATTGAGGAGAGGCTCTTCCACTACAGGTACAGTTCTTTCACTAGTTTAGTGGGTCTAATAAACATGTTGTTGGTTTAGATAAGTTTATTTAGCTCTTCCTGTCCTTTAGTTGTAAAGCGGTGTAGTTGATCTAGAGGGGCCATAATTGAGGCTGAATCACAAGACACCATAGAGGATTGTACATTTGTAATTGTGTTTCGGATGCTTTCCATTTTCTCATCGAAGTAATTCATAAATCATTACTACTAAACTGTGACGGAATATTTTGCTCTGGTGATGTACGTATGTTTATTTGTTAGTCTAGCCACAGTGTTAAATAAAAACCTTGGATTATTTTGGTTATTTTCTATTAGTTTGCGGAGATGCTCAGCCCTGGCTGTTTTTAGAGCCTTTTTATAAAGTGACGTACTGTCTTTCCACGCGATTCTAAAGACCTCTAAATTAGTTTATTTCCATTTTACGCTCTAAGTTACGAGTTTCTCTCTTGATAGCATGCGTAGCACTGTTGTGCCAGGGTGCTTTAGTTTTCTCTCTAACCTTTTTTTTAATCTAATTGGTGCAACAATATATAATGTACTAGTGAAAATGGTGTTCAAAGTGCTCTAATTCATCTGTTTGTTTGGGTTCACTTAACAACTGAGATAAATCAGGTAAGCTATTTGAGAATATATCTATATTGGTTGGAAGGATTGTTCTGCCTGGTCTATAACGTGGTGCAACATGACATATTTTAGCAGTACGTATTATGCAAGTCACCATGTAATGATCAGTGAGATTGTTGCTTTGCGGTATAATATCTATATCAGTTGGATTGGTTCCATATGATATAATTAAATCTAGTGTATGATTTAGACGATGAGTGGGACCACTGACGTTTTGCTTGACCCCAAAGGAGTTTAATAAATCTGTAAACGCAGCCCCTAACACATCATTATCTACGTGTATGTTAAAATCTCCAACAATTATTGCTTTATCGACATTCACCAATAGATCTGAGAGAAAGTCTGCAAACTCTTTTAGGAATTCAGCATATGGCCCTGGAGGTCTATATACAGTAGCCAAGGCTAGAGATAATATGGATTTCTTTTTTACATCTAAGAGCGTAACATTTAGCACAAGTAATTCAAATGAATTAAACCTGTGACCTGTTTTCTGAGTAACATTAAAAATATCTTTATAGATTGTTGCAACACCGCCGCCACGACCGAACAGACGGGGCTCATGCTTATAGCATCCTGGTGGACTAGACTCATGATTTAGACCGAAATACTCATTTGGTTTAAGCCATGTTTCAGTAAGGCGCAGAACATCGAAATTATTATCTGTGACCATTTCATTTACAATAACCGCCTTAGGTGTGAGCGATCTAATGTTTAGAAGACCTAGCTTTAGAAATTGATTTTGTTCACTGATATTTAGATTTTCTGGTTTAATTACAATAAGATTTTTGCTAGATCCTACACTAGATTTATGTTTGGCCTCATTAATGAGGAATAGACACAGTTTCTATATAATGTTCTACACTACGTATATCAATTAAGTTTGGAGGGCAAAGACTGTGATTTGGACTTTGACTTACTTGTCATCTGGTGCATAACGTCTTGTAGATGTTGTCCGACAGAACAGCTGGTCCGATTCTGCTGGGGTGAAGTCCATCAGCACGATACAGCCTGGGTCTCTCCCAAAACATATTCCAATTATTTGCAAAGAGCAGTTTCTGTTCATTACACAATGACATTAACCATTCATTTAGTGCAAACAGTCTACTGAACCTTTCTTGTCCTTGGCGGTATGTGGGAAGCGGTCCAGACACAATGATCGTTGCTTTAGGCACTGTGCTGCGTACTGTCTCGATCAGGCTCCTGTAGTCCTTCTTTAGAACCTCCGTCTGCCGCAGTCTAATGTCGTTCGCTCCCGCGTGCAGCACAACAGCTCCGACGCGCTCGTCCCCGTTCAGGATCTCGGGAACCTGTGCAGCGACATCAAGTACACGAGCACCAGGAAAGCAGTGAGTGCGCACCTTACCCTTACCTGAGGTAGCACGGACATGACAGACCATAGACGTGCCTATGATCACGGCGTCGTCGCATTCCGACTCGCGAAGAGGGGAGAAGCGGTTCCGAGTGGAGATCTCGAAGACCGGGAGGGGCGGAGAGGTAACTCTGGTCCTGTCTCGTGTCTTCTGCTGTGTGCTCCATGGCCCCCTGGTGTTGTGTCGGTGCCGGAGTGAATGAAGCCAGAGATGATCGCGTCCTCCTGGACAGAGAAACCCACGGAATAGACAAAGTCGGAGTCAAAGAGTTAACTTTACTAACCACTGACTTGTGAGCATCGGCGCGTGATGTTTCAAGCGCTGATTGCCGATCCAGCAGCTCGGCTTGCTTCACCAGCAGACCACGGATCTGTTTCTCCATGGATTCCAGCTCCAGCTTCACCGAGAAGAGCTTGAATGTGTCGCCGATATGTCCGATATGTTCGCCATTATAACAGATGAACAGTAAATTAGTAGTGTTACTACAACTATCACTACTAATTTAGGACTAAAATGCAGGATATAACCTGTAACGTGTGTAAAATGAGACGGCCAATAGGCGAGAGGCCACGCGTGAAATGCTAGCGGGCTAAAAGGTTTGTAGCCGAGATTCGGAAGGTTGGATATAAGTAGCGATGATACCAAAGCAATCCAATTGTTTTTTATAAGGAATAGTATCGAGGATAAGTTCACATGATATAAAAATAGAAAGTGATTGTTTATAAATGAGTGGTTAAGAATCAAGGATTAAGGAAGAAATTCGCTGGAGCTACAAACACATGATATTTTATATCATTATATATTTTATTTTATATCATGTGAACACCGACGCACGCGCAAAAGAAGTGTATAAATGTATCGTAAATTATAATGTAAAGCGGCCTTGAGCTACGGAAAGGCGCTATATAAATAAAACTTCTTCTTCTTCGAGCCTACCCAGGTGAAAAAGACGCTGTATTAAATGTATTAAAAATATATTTGAAATACAAATAGTGTGTTTATAATACATTTGTATTTACAACATGCTTATTTAAAGTGTACTAAAAATTTATTTTATTGCATTTTAGTATATTTCTAAAAAGTATACTAGAAGTATATTGGTAATAAATATATATTTAATTACACTTTTAAGAAATGTACTATAGAAAAGCATACTTTTAATGTATTTATAAAAAGTATATTAGTAATATATTGGTAATAAATGTATGCTTTATTATATTTTTAATAAATATGCTAATGATAATTATACTTTAAATGTATTTCTAAAAAGTATATTAGAATTACATTGGTAATAAATATATGTTTAAATACACTTTTAAGAAATACACTATAGAAAAGCATACTTTTAATGTATTTCTAAAAAAGTATATTATTAGTACATTGGTAATAAATGTATGCTTAATTATATTTTTAATAAATATGCTAATGACAATCATGCTTTAAATATGTTTCTAAAAAGTGTACTAGAAGTACATTGGTATTTAATTACATTTTTAAGAAATATGCTAAATACAAACATATTTTAATTGTATTTAAAAATGTTTTACTAGAAACGCAATGCAAATAAATATACACTTAATTACACTTTTAGAAATATGCTAAAAACAAACATAGTTTTAGTGAAATTTTAGTGTATTTACAGAAAGCATACTTGTTGCTAAATTAAAGTATTTTTTGTGTTTACTTTGTGTGTATAGCAATTTGTAACCTTATAACTTATTTAACCTTGTATAGGACTAGAGCAATATATTTTTAATATTTATGTTATACTGTAGCATGTGCTTCAGCCCTGCTTTAAAAAAATATTGTGAAAAACAAATGAGACATATATATATAAAGTTTAAAAATTACAAGTAATGCACTTCTATACTTCTGCATTAATTAATCAAATAGTCTTTTCCACAAAACAAGTGAATACCAGTACTTGCACACATCAACATAAAAGATCAAGTACATACTAGAAAAACTAAATAAATTTGTTAAAGCTTGACTCTTACATTTGTTTAGCCAAAATGAATAAAAAACCTGTTTATAAAGCATGTTATGTTTATATTAACAGAGTTGTTTCTTTTTTGTGGCCGTTAGTTAGTATTTCCAGTTGCATTCATTTGGACCAATCAGAGCTAATCTTTTCAAAACAAGCTTGCCGGCAATTGTCCAATCACACACTGCCATTTGAACTTACATGTTGGGCGGGGCGCGGACAACGCACTGACTGTCTGTGGTATTCCATTATAGCTTCGGATATTTCAACAGAAATCATGTATTTTCCAAATTTTGCTTTGTTATTTCACTGACTCGGACCTAGTGAATGTGGATAGCACCGATCTAATATTAAGAGAATACACGAGCAGATTACCAGGTCGTCAGCTCCCGCGAACAATTTAGCAGTGAAGAGGACAACGCAGAGCTGCGCCGCCACGACATGGACAGAGCAAGATACTGCCAGAAAAGATCTTACTTCTTGGTGGTAAGTTTATTAGTTTAAAGGGTTAGTTCACCCAAAAATGAAAATTAAGTCATTAATTACTCACCCCCATGCTGTACCAACCCCGTAAGACCTTCGTTCGTCTTCGGAACACAAATGAAGATATTTTTGATTAAATTTGAGAGCTGTATAACTACCACATTGGCTCCTAAGGGACTGCCTCTTGACGGCCCAGAAAGTCAATGAAGAAAATGTTTAAATATCCCAAGTGACTACCGTGGCTCAACTATATGTTTATCAAGCGACGCGAATACTTTTTGTGCGAAAAAACAAACAAAAATAACGAGTTTATTCGACTATTTTTTTCTTCCTCGTAGGCCAGAACGAGACTTCCTTATAGATTTCCACGACGCATGCGCGAGATTTGCGATCTGCGTACACCAGCTTACACCACTTCAGATCGCAATTCTCGCGCATGCGTCGTGGAAATCTATAAGGAAGTCTCGTTCTGGCCTACAAGGAAGAAAAAAATAGTCGAATAAACTCGTTATTTTTGTTTGTTTTTTCGCAATATGTATTTTGCCTGATTATGCATTGAATTATGCAATCACATATTCGTGTTTTTCTCGAGGGACTGATTTATATGATTTTATGAGTGGTATTCAGCTTTTTTACATTTAATCAAGGCGTTATCAGCTGTTACCAACTTGTAACTTTCAATAGAATGTTCTGTCTTTATTAATAATGAATAATTAATAATAGCGTGGAAGTTACAGTAATGGTTCATTAAATATGTTTCACCATTTAAACAAAAGACAAATTATATATGAAGAACACAAACTAGTGTTTGTTCTGCCCTAACTTTGTATAACATGCAACTTGATTTTTTCTTGTAGAGCTTCCAGGGATATTAGCATCTCTCAAAGAGGCCCTGGAGTCCATGAAACGAGGTTCATTCAGCTCAAGCCCAAGATCATCTGAGCTGTGTCTTCCTGAAACCTCAGAAATGGTTAGAAAATTCTTTATGATAAAGAAAAATCCTATTTGTTATAATAATTATATCTGACTTTTTGTGCATTAAGTGTTCTGAATTAAGTAACAAAGTGACAGCTTTTTATTAGAATTATAAATGAACAAGTTTATACTAATGCTTGTTTTTTTTATTCTTTCCAGATTTCCCTCGGTGGTTCTGATGTCCCCAAAAGAGTCTATGGCAGACTGAAAAAGTCACGAACTTCTCTTTTTACTCACGACTTGGCCACTTTACTTTTTGCTATTGTATTTCACTTTGTTTGACTTAAAGGATTAGTTCACTTAAAAAAAAAAAAAAACTTTTGCTAATAACTTACTCACCCCCAGGCCAAGATATCCATGTCATTCTTTCTTCAGTTGAAAAGAAATTAAGGTTTTGGATGAAAACATTCCAGGATTTTCTCCATATAATGGACTTCATTGGGGACCAAACGGTTCAAGGTCCAAAAGACAGTTTCTGTGCAAAACTGTTCAAAGGGCTTTAAACGATTCCAGACGATGAATAAGGGTCTTATCAAGCGAAACGATCGGTCATTTAAAAAAAAAAAAAAAAAAAGTTTAAGTTTTATAAGCTCAAATGGTCGCCTTGCTCTGTTCTGTTATGCATGTTCATGATTTTCCTATTTGAACTCGTTCATCAAAATTAACAAATCTTTTTCCGAGTCATTAGGTTCATTCAACGAACGAAATAAATGAATTGACTCGAAAAAAGATTTGTCAGGGCTGCCAACTCTCAAGCATTCAGCACGAGACTCTCGCAATTGAGCCAATTCTCATGCTTTCACGACAAATTGACTGTTAGCCATTGGACCTTGAACCGTTTGGTTCCCATTGAAGTCCATTATATGGAGAAAAATCCTGGAATGTTTTCATCAAAAACCTTAATTTTTTTTCGACTGAAGAAAGAAAGACATGGACATCTTGGAAGACATGGGGGTGAGTAAATTATCACCAAAAGTTTTTTCAAAAGTGAACTACTCCTTTTAGTTAGTTTATTTATTTATTGTTCTGTTTAATACCTCTGCAAATCAATGCATTTTATGTTAATGTATTTTGTTTAGTTTTCATAATGCTTTACTGATGTAGTGCATTAAAGTTTATCTTTCAAAGAGTGTTTGTGTGTTTTGTAGAAATATTTTTTTACTGGGTTTTGTTGAATTCAAATGTTTAAATGTATTTTTAATACATTAAAATATATTATTTTTATATTAAATGGTTTTTGGAAAAATATATTTTTAATATGTTAATAGTGGGTCCTATAGTGTTCTACTAATACATTATTAATAAGCTGAAATTATATTTAAAATATACTCAGAACGCATTAATGTGAAGCTAAAAATATACTAATGCTGTATTTCTAAAGTCTATTTAAAGTGTATTAAAATACACTTTAAATAAGTGCTATTAT